TCTACAGGAACATTGTGTATGCGATAGTGGTGTTGTCGCAATAGTCAGACACTAGCTTGCGGGCCCCAAGGTCCTCGTCGGACAGGTCCCCAAGACCGAACCAGTCTGAAATAGCCACAGAGAAAAATCTATGGAAGTAAAGTGGGTGGACCCGATGTTCAGCGCAATATATACAGAGTCGTGGACACAATTACAGGTAAGGCGACAGCTGATGGCCATAGAAGGTCCTGTAATTATCCAATGACTTGCACGTCAAAACCGCCTTTCATGATTATGAGTCAATTTTGATTGGTTCTCATTGATTAGGAACTGAACCATCTATCCCAAGTCAGGGCAGGGAACAGCAGCGACCACTTGTACATTTGACCTGCTCTGTCACAACTGTCTTTACTGGTTGTAGCTGTACTCCCCAGCAAATAATTAGGGTACTGCTGGGGTGACCGTTTATTAACCCTCATATAATGCTTCAGGTCAAAATGGACGCTAGGCACGGCCACCTTTTTTTCCCCCAGACGGTGGCCGTTGCATTTTTGCTCCATTTGTAGACTGGAAGGATATAGTTTCGTCGCCCAGCTTCTGAGTTGAGTGAATGGCGTGACACTGTGAGCTACGTGTGTTTTTCGTTGGCACGGGAACGGAGCAACTATGGGGTGACCCGTTTGCTATGAAGCTGAAACTAGGATTACCAGATTACTGGTTGTAGCCCAGGACAGGGCAGAGACCAGCAGTGACCACTTGTACATTTGACCTGCTATGTCACAACTGTCTTCACTGGCTGTAGCCCAGTGCAGGGACCAACAGTGACCACTTGTACATTTGACCTGTTCTGTCACAACTGTCTTCACTGGCTGCAGTTACGACTGTTAAGGCTGTGCAATTTTATGGTATGTTGTCACAATCGACGTCACTGTACTTTCGGCATTTCCATGTACGCTCAGTCCCCCGTTTCAGCAGCTACCTAAAAGCACGTTTACCGATGTTTTCCATGAGAGGTTGGTTATAGTGTCTCCTGTATCGGCTTTAAATGCGGCATAGACTTACTTTAGCATGCTTTACTCCCATGTCATGCAATCGTGTTAGTATTAGAAATTAGTCATTTATCCACTAAGTTTTGTACAGCGTTGACGACATCTGCTTTGTCCATGTTTCATTCCACATGTGTGGTTGCATTGCTTGCCAGTTGGTCTGTTCGCCCAGTTCTCTTTAGCCCGCATGACCTGGTGTGTAGACCGAGCTGAAGGAGGTTAAGTCCGATTTTCGAATGTTATCTATCCATTCAGAGCGCATACCACCCCTGTTGTTCTCTTTTAAAGCATGTTCATGGAGTCTGATACAATGACTACCTGTGTGGTTGCTCTCCCACCCATGCTAGTAAGGCCAGACAATCTTTACTCCGAACACTCCCAGAACTGGACGAGTTTCCAACAGCAGCTAGCAAGTTTGTCCAACCGCCCAAGAACCTGACCTCGTCACCCAGAGCGACGTGACCTATTGCAAGCATTCGGAAATGTTCCGGGAAGACATGTCGGCCGGCATGATGTTGTCCACAATAGCCATGGCGCGGCCTACACCATACAGAGCTAGAACCTGACGCCCGAGATGGTTTAGACTTAGAAGAGCTCGTGTAAAAGAAGGTAGCTACAGACTCACTGACTGTTTGATTTACAGCAGTTGCCACTGGTCCCATTGAAAAATACGGTCTATCGTTGCTTCCATGGTACCACACTAGTTTCCTTGAGGATATTGTTTGTGTGTTGAGATGAACCTTTTGGAAGTCACCATCTGTAAATCTTTCTACTGAAGTATTCAGTACATGGGAGGTCATATCAAAGATCAAGAACATCGACTCCACACGTTCAACCCAACCATCCACTGGGCAGGCTCGGGAACTCTTTCTGCTGATACATTTCGTAAATCAGCTTTAGCATCACTGATAAGAAATATCTGGTCGAGATGTTAGAGCATTAGCCTTCCACGATGAGACAGACCGCTTCGAAATCCTAGACAAGGCGATGCATCCCTCTCCCCCCCCCCCTCCCCCTCTCGGTGGTTACAAAAAACGAATCCCTAATCTGCCAATTTTGTGTGACGGCGTTAGCCACGCGACCACAGACACTCACTATAAAATCGCCCCACCCTTACCCCGTCCTAAAAACGTGATAAGGACAGTACAGTGTAGACGTTTTAGATATCATAGCTGTGTCAAAACTGCAAGTTCCCAAAAGCACACAGACAAGGCGGCTGAACTTGGCCGTAATTGACTAGTTTAGGACAGCAACTGTGACATGTTTATGACACGAAAACAATATTTGCATGTTGTTAGCGATCTCCCTTGTTAGTAATTTATCAGATATGAATACTGAGAATCTGTCTTTCTCCCTGGCAGAGGATCTGTCTGTCTGTGCGTGGTGGAGGATCTGTATGTCTGTGCTGAGCGTAGATGCCCTGGTGGCTGCAGTGAAATCTACCAGATTTGGTGTATGTCTGCCGGGACATATAATTAGGTCAAATAAGCGAGCGCGCCGTTCTGGCAGTCAGAAATGTGAGTAGCTGGGGTAGATCCCACGGCATTCCGCCATCAGGGTATCAACTCTGGCGGTGCCGGACACAAATCAATTGACACAATTTGTTGGGTTCTCCAGCTGTAACATTGGGCAGGCGCTGCACTTATGTTGCGTCTGTTTCTACATAAACTGTCTGTTGTCATTTCTCGGACTTCCTGCCAGTCGATATGAATGTATCTATGTATGTGTGCATATGTTTGCATTTGGTACACACATTCTTATCTTTAGTTGGCTGTCTTTTTGCGTGTTTACTATCCTGTGTGCAACGTCTTCTTCTTCTTCTTCTTCCTCTTCTTCTTCTTCTTCTTCTTCTTCTTCCTCCTCCTCCTCTTCTTCTTCTTCTTCTTCTTCTTCTTCTTCTTCTTCTTCTTCTTCTTCTTCTTCTTCTTCTTCTTCTTCTTCTTCTTCTTCTTCTTCTTCTTCTTCTTCTTCTTCTTCTTCTTTTTCTTCTTCTTCTTCTTCTTCTTCTTCTTCTTCTTCTTCTTCTTCTTCTTCTTCTTCTTCTTCTTCTTTTCCTCCTCCTTCTTTTCCTCCTCCTACTTTTTTCTTCTTCTTCTTCTTCTTCTTCTTCTTCTTCTTCTTCTTCTTCTTCTTCTTCTTATTATTATTATTATTATTATTATTAGTATTATTATTATTATTATTATTATTATTATTATTATTATTATTATTATTATTATTATTATTATTATTATTATTATTATATTTCTTCTGCATTCGAGCTTGAAACCGTGGTTGGTAGCACACTGTGTTCTGGCTTAAATCGAGGCTTCGATATCTGCACTCTTGGGCCGAACACTGCTGATCGTTGCAAACCCCTAGTTCTCATTAACGAGTTTTGTAAGGACTCACTTTGTATGTTGTCGCTCATCCCAGAGAGTCAGCTAGGGGCTGAGAGGCAGGGAGAGATAGAACAAACGAAGAGATTTTTTTTTTCTCCAAAGGGTTACAAGAGAAAGAGAAAGAACGAGAGAAACAGAGAGAGAGAAAGAGAGAGAGAGAGAGAGAGAGAAATAGAGAGAGAGAGAGAGAGAGAGAGAGAGAGAGAGAGAAACACAGAGACAGACGTATATACATAAAGAAGCAACTCACACGCATGAAAAAGCCCCCCCCCCCCTTTCTTTCCCATCCCCCCCCCCTTTCTTTCCCATCCCCCCCCCCCCCCCCACAAACACACACAGGAACGCACATAGGCTGTGTAGTTATTACAGAAATGAACATCAGTCTTAATAGTTCTCTTGACAGAGCTCATCAGTGAACATGACATCTCCTCCCGTTACTTCGATGAGGTACAAGGTGGAAGAGAAGAAGAAGGAGGAGAAGTTGAGGAATCCGTCGTCGTTGACAATCCCACCTGTAGTTGTGCAGGTGAGGAGATCTCGCCAGACAAAGCCAAGCATAGAGCTTCATCTGCTGGCCCAGCACCGCCTATTGATTTTGATTGCAAAATCAAAAATGCAAGTCGAATAGGAAATTGCAGAAGTAATAAAATTTAAATCTTAAAAAAAAAAAAAAAACGAAATTAGCACAAAAGATCTAGATTGGCAGCCATAATGAAATGTGAAAATACTAAATCGCTACTCAGATCGGATCTCTGGGAAGGCTAACCCGGTCAACAAATGCCTGCAGAAGTCGAATGTGTTGGCCGAAAGGTGCAAATATCGCAGCCATGCTGTAAACGGACACAAAGCAGTTACATCTTCAGATGAACGCAGAAGAAGAAAAAATCGGATCTGCTGAGGAATGAAACCGTTCATTCTGATGGGGATTGTGTTCATCAAAGCGTCAGGGGAGCAGGCGCTGATGTAATGTTGACCAGCTACAGTCCACGAGAGAGTCCACAGGACAGTCCACGAGAGAGTCTACGGGACAGTCCACAGGACAGTCCAAGAGACAGTCCACGAGACATTCCATGAGAAAGTCCACAGGACAGTCCAAGAGACAGTCCACAGGACAGTCCAAGAGACAGTCCAAGAGACAGTCCAAGAGACAGTCCACAGGACAGTCCAAGAGACAGTCCACAGGACAGTCCAAGAGACAGTCCAAGAGACAGTCCAAGAGACAGTCCACAGGACAGTCCAAGAGACAGTCCACAGGACAGTCCAAGAGACAGTCCAAGAGACAGTCCAAGAGACAGTCCAAGAGACAGTCCAAGAGACATTTCAAGAGACAGTCCAAGAGACAGTCCACAGGACAGTCCAAGAGACAGTCCAAGAGACAGTCCACGAGAGAGTCCATGAGAGAGTCCATGAGAGAGTCCATGAGAGAGTCCATGAGAGAGTCCATGAGAGAGTCCATGAGAGAGTCCACAAGAGAGTCCACGAGACAGTCCATGAGAGAGTCCACAGGACAGTCAAAGAGACAGTCCAAGAGAGAGTCCACGAGACAGTCCATGAGAGAGTCCATGAGAGAGTCCATGAGAGAGTCCATGAGAGAGTCCATGAGAGAGTCCATGAGAGAGTCCACAAGAGAGTCCACGAGACAGTCCATGAGAGAGTCCACAGGACAGTCAAAGAGACAGTCCAAGAGAGAGTCCACGAGACAGTCCATGAGAGAGTCCATGAGAGAGTCCACAGGACAGTCCAAGAGACAGTCCACGAGACAGTCCAAGAGACAGTCCAAGAGAGAGTCCATGAGAGAGTCTATGAGAGAGTCCATGAGAGAGTCCATGAGAGAGTCCATGAGAGAGTCCATGAGAGAGTCCACAGGACAGTCCATGAGAGAGTCCATGAGAGAGTCCATGAGAGAGTCCACGAGACAGTCCATGAGAGAGTCCACGAGACAGTCCATGAGAGAGTCCATGAGAGAGTCCACAGGACAGTCCAAGAGACAGTCCATGAGAGAGTCCATGAGAGAGTCCAAGAGACAGTCCAAGAGACAGTCCAAGAGACAGTCCAAGAGACAGTCCAAGAGACAGTCCAAGAGACAGTCCAAGAGACAGTCCAAGAGACAGTCCAAGAGACAGTCCAAGAGAGAGTCCAAGAGACAGTCCAAGAGACAGTCCAAGAGACAGTCCAAGAGAGAGTCCAAGAGACAGTCCAAGAGACAGTCCAAGAGACAGTCCAAGAGAGAGTCCAAGAGACAGTCCAAGAGAGAGTCCACGAGACAGTCCATGAGAGAGTCCAAGAGACAGTCCAAGAGAGAGTCCACGAGACAGTCCATGAGAGAGTCCAAGAGAGAGTCCAAGAGAGAGTCCACGAGACAGTCCAAGAGAGAGTCCATGAGAGAGTCCAAGAGACAGTCCAAGAGAGAGTCCAAGAGAGAGTCCAAGAGACAGTCCAAGAGAGAGTCCAAGAGAGGGTCCATGAGAGAGTCCAAGAGACAGTCCAAGAGACAGTCCAAGAGACAGTCCAAGAGACAGTCCAAGAGACAGTCCAAGAGACAGTCCAAAAGAGAGTCCAAGAGACAGTCCAAGAGACAGTCCAAGAGAGAGTCCAAGAGAGAGTCCATGAGAGAGTCCAAGAGACAGTCCAAGAGACAGTCCAAGAGAGAGTCCAAGAGACAGTCCAAGAGAGAGTCCACGAGACAGTCCATGAGAGAGTCCAAGAGAGAGTCCAAGAGAGAGTCCACGAGACAGTCCAAGAGACAGTCCAAGAGACAGTCCAAGAGACAGTCCAAGAGACAGTCCAAGAGAGAGTCCAAGAGACAGTCCATGAGAGAGTCCAAGAGAGAGTCCAAGAGAGAGTCCACGAGACAGTCCAAGAGAGAGTCCATGAGAGAGTCCAAGAGACAGTCCAAGAGAGAGTCCAAGAGAGATTCAAAGAGACAGTCCAAGAGAGAGTCCAAGAGAGAGTCCATGAGAGAGTCCAAGAGACAGTCCAAGAGACAGTCCAAGAGACAGTCCAAGAGACAGTCCAAGAGACAGTCCAAGAGACAGTCCAAAAGAGAGTCCAAGAGACAGTCCAAGAGACAGTCCAAGAGAGAGTCCAAGAGAGAGTCCATGAGAGAGTCCAAGAGACAGTCCAAGAGACAGTCCAAGAGAGAGTCCAAGAGACAGTCCAAGAGAGAGTCCACGAGACAGTCCATGAGAGAGTCCAAGAGAGAGTCCAAGAGAGAGTCCACGAGACAGTCCAAGAGACAGTCCAAGAGACAGTCCAAGAGACAGTCCAAGAGACAGTCCAAGAGAGAGTCCAAGAGACAGTCCATGAGAGAGTCCAAGAGACAGTCCAAGAGAGTCCAAGAGAGAGTCCAAGAGACAGTCCAAGAGAGAGTCCACGAGACAGTCCATGAGAGAGTCCAAGAGAGAGTCCATGAGAGAGTCCAAGAGACAGTCCAAGAGACAGTCCAAGAGACAGTCCAAGAGAGAGTCCAAGAGACAGTCCAAGAGACTGTCCAAAAGACAGTCCATGAGAGAGTCCAAGAGACAGTCCAAGAGACAGTCCAAGAGAGAGTCCAAGAGACAGTCCAAGAGAGAGTCCACGAGACAGTCCATGAGACAGTCCAAGAGAGAGTCCACGAGACAGTCCAAGAGAGAGTCCAAGAGAGAGTCCAAGAGAGAGTCCACGAGACAGTCCAAGAGAGAGTCCATGAGAGAGTCCATGAGACAGTCCAAGAGAGAGTCCACGAGACAGTCCAAGAGAGAGTCCAAGAGAGAGTCCAAGAGACAGTCCACGAGACAGTCCAAGAGAGAGTCCACGAGACAGTCCAAGAGACAGTCCACGAGACAGTCCATGAGAGAGTCCAAGAGAGAGTCCAAGAGAGAGTCCAAGAGAGAGTCCACGAGACAGTCCATGAGAGAGTCCAAGAGAGAGTCCAAGAGAGAGTCCAAGAGAGAGTCCAAGAGAGAGTCCATGAGAGAGTCCAAGAGAGAGTCCAAAAGAGAGTCCAAGAGAGAGTCCAAGAGAGAGTCCACGAGACAGTCCATGAGAGAGTCCAAGAGAGAGTCCAAGAGAGAGTCCAAGAGAGAGTCCAAGAGAGAGTCCAAGAGAGAGTCCAAGAGACAGTCCAAGAGAGAGTCCACGAGACAGTCCATGAGAGAGTCCAAGAGAGAGTCCAAGAGAGAGTCCAAGAGAGAGTCCAAGAGAGAGTCCACGAGACAGTCCAAGAGACAGTCCAAGAGAGAGTCCAAGAGAGAGTCCAAGAGAGAGTCCAAGAGAGAGTCCAAGAGAGAGTCCAAGAGAGAGTCCAAGAGAGAGTCCACGAGACAGTCCATGAGAGAGTCCACGAGACAGTCCATGAGAGAGTCCACAAGAGAGTCCATGAGAGAGTCCAAGAGAGAGTCCACAATAGAGTTCAAGAGAGAGTCCAAGAGAGAGTCCAAGAGAGAGTCCACGAGACAGTCCATGAGAGAGTCCACGAGACAGTCCACAGGACAGTCCATGAGACAGTCCAAGAGAGAGTCCACGAGACAGTCCAAGAGAGAGTCCACGAGACAGTCCATGAGACAGTCCACGAGACAGTCCACAGGACAGTCCACGAGACAGTCCATGAGACAGTCCATGAGAGAGTCCACGAGACAGTCCATGAGACATTCCAAGAGAGAGTCCACGAGACAGTCCATGAGACAGTCCACGAGACAGTCCACAGGACAGTCCACGAGACGGTCCATGAGACAGTCCATGAGAGAGTCCACGAGACAGTCCACGGGACAGTCCAAGAGAGAGTCCATGAGAGAGTCCACGAGACAGTCCACAGGACAGTCCATGAGACAGTCCAAGAGAGAGTCCACAGGACAGTCCATGAGACAGTCCATGAGACAGTCCACGAGACAGTCCACAGGACAGTCCATGAGACAGTCCATGAGAGAGTCCACGAGACAGTCCACGGGACAGTCCACGAGAGAGTCCACAGGACAGTCCACTTTTATTTTGAGCTAAAATCGGCACATCTCAAGCAAGTTTATTCAACCCCCCTTCCCCCACCCCCCCCCCCCCCAAAAAAAAATCTAAAATTCAAAATAATAAAGATGGATTATTAAGCAATAATATAGGAATAAACACAACGAATACAAAGATAATGGTGATATGAAGGCAGAAAGACAATTTAGAGATTGAATTAAAAAACAAGGCCTTATTACAAATGTGGGAATGTAAGTATTTAGGAGCAACTTTCACACCAGATGGAAAACTGGACAAAGAAATTTAGCTAGAGATGTACTAAAGCTAATCAAGTAATGGGGCAACTATCTCCCCTGTTGACACACAAGCAGATACCTCCGAGTACTAATGTGAGTCTTTTCAGAACTATTTTTTTTAGCCAACACTATGCTATCAATGCCAAACATGGACACTTACATCCTTTAATGAACGTAAAATTGTGACAACAGAGATGAAATGTCTTAGAAGAGCTGCAGAAGTTTCAAAGAAAGACAGAATACGAAATCGCACCTAACAAAAATGCCCTGGTACTATCTGCCACAGCGAGCCACACTGAAATGTAACAATGGTTATAGAGCGAGTGGAAGACCTCGGAAAATATGGAGTGATGGCATAAATAATAGCATTACAGAATAAGGCGACGAATCTAAGTAGTGCTTTTGACAGAGTTCATCAACAAGCGTTACATCTCCTCCTGAAACTTTACGGATATACAAAGTGAGGGGGGAAAAAGAAGAAGAGGAAGAAAAAAAGAAGAAGAAGAAGAGGAAGAAGTGAAAGAAGAAAACGAAGAAGAAGAAGAAGAAGAAGAAGAAGAAGAAGAAGAAGAAGAAGAAGAAGAAGAAGAAGAAGAAGAAGAAGAACATCGCCGGGACACATTATACATACGAGACTGTCCAGGCGAAAACGGGACACGATATAAACACCGGACTGTCCTGGTGAAAACGGGACACATGTTCATCATTTGTGTAGAGCCAAAGCCAAATGGTTGTCTATAATTGGTTGAAGCAGGGCCTAAGGAACTGTCCAGACACGATAATTTGGACACACACACACACACCTACCCGGCCTTAACACACTTCCCAGCATGTACACTTTATCCCCACGTTCTGTGAGCACACTCTCAAAGTTACTGCAACGCTTTCTGTAGCCTCCAATGTTTCCCCGGCTTTACCATCCTGGCATGTAGACCACTCTCCCAGACTTCCAGATCGCCTTGTGCTTCCACTCCTTTCACATGATTAAAGGACAGATCCTACAGGGATCTGCAGCAAAGTTCTAGCAGATGTGCCAAACCTCGTATGAGCGGCAGCAGGCAGGCTCTTTCCGCAGAATTTCAATCCCCGAAAAGTAATACCTTCAAAGTCCAGAATCCCAGAGCGTAGTCACAGAGAAGGATTACTTCCGGAAGAGAGGGATTAAAATGTTTTCAGAGAGCGGATTGCAAATAATCCTTAAGCCATACGTCTGGGATTACTTACTGTAGGAAAATCTGGTCTGCTTTTTTTGCCTCCCTTCGCAGAGCAAGCATGTGTGAGTGTGTGGGTGTTTGTGTGCGTGTGTGTGTAAGTAAGTGTGTATATCTCTTCCCACCATAGTATGCGTCTTTACTGATTTCCTTTCGTTTCACACCGTGCCCGTGTATGTTTACGTATATGTGTGTGTGTGCGTGCGTGCGCGCGCGCATGTATATGTGTACGTGTGAGTGTGTTCGTTAATTTCGTCCAACTGTAGTATGTCTCTCAACTGATTTTATCATGGTGTGTAGTGTTTGTGTGAATGTGTGTGCGCGTGCGTGTGTGTGAGTGTACAAGTAGCACACTGAATTTGTGGGCTGTGTGTAGGTGTGTGTGGTGTGTGTGTGTGTGTGTGTGTAGGTGTGTGTAGGTGTGTAGGTGTGTGTGTAGGTGTGTGTGTAAGTGTGTGTGTAGGTGTGTATGTAAGTGTGTGTAGGTGTGTATCTGTGTAGGTGTGTGTGTGTAGGTGTGTGTGTTGGTGTGTGTGTAGGTGTGTGTGTAGGTGTGTGTGTAGGTGTGTGTAGGTGTGTATGTAGGTATTGTGTAGGTGTGTGTAGGTGTGTGTAGGTGTGTGTGTTTAGGTGTGTGTGTAGGTTTGTGTGTGTATGTGTAGGTGTGTGTGTATGTGTGTGTAGGTGTGTGTGTAGGTGTGTGTGGGTGTAGGTGTGTGTGTAAGTGTGTGTGTATAGGTGTGTGTGTAGGTGTTTGTGTGTATGTAGGTGTGTGTGTAGGTGTTTGTGTGTATGTAGGTGTGTGTAGGTGTGTGTGTAGGTGTGTGTGTGTGGTATGTGTGTGTAGGTGTGTGTGTGTGTAAGTGTGTGTGTGTGTAGGTGTGTAGGTGTGTGTGTGTATGTGTGTAGATGTGTAGGTGTGTGTGTGTCGGCGACTGTGGCTTAGGCGTTGCGAACGAACTTCGTAATGCCAAGGTGCTGGGTTCGATCCCAGCTGCGGAGGATTTGTCTTTCGACAGTGATACCGAGAGCTGACCCACTGTTTAGAAAGCAATAGCGAACTAATGAACGTAAAATTAGTCTAAATAAACCACAAGCGAAAATAAACGCATGGGTTGGTTCTGTAACGTCACATAAAGGATAAGCAGCTAACTGTGTGGGTGTTCGTGCATGTGGGTGTTCGTGCGTGTGGGTGTTCGTGCTGCAATACTCACCATTTCAACATATGTTCTAACATACTGCCTGTCTTGTACATCCCGGCTACAATACTGACAATCTCAAACATCTGGGCTACAGTATAAACTGTTTGCACATATGTGCTACAATACCCACTCACGTGTACACATGTGCTACAACACTCCCTCACTTGTACATATGTGCTACAATACTCCCTCATTTGTACATATGCTACAATACTCACTCACTTGTACACATGTGCTACAACACTCACTCACTTGTACACATGTGCTACAATACTCACTCACTTGTACACATGTGCTACAATACTCACTCACTTGTACAAATGTGCTACAATACTCACTCACTTGTACAAATGTTCTACAATACTCACTCACTTGTACAAATGTGCTACAATACTCACTCACTTGTACAAATGTGCTACAATACTCACTCACTTGTACATATGTGCTACAATACTCCCTCACTTGCACATATGTGCTACAATACTCACTCACTTGTACAAATGTGCTACAATACTCACTCACTTGTACAAATGTGCTACAATACTCACTCACTTGTACATATGTGCTACAATACTCACTCACTTGTACATATGTGCTACAATACTCACTCACTTGTACACACGTGCTACAATACTCCCTCACTTGTACACATGTGCTACAATACTCACTCACTTGTACACATGTGCTACAACACTCACTCACGTGTACACATGTGCTACAATACTCCCTCACTTGTACATATGTGCTACAATACTCACTCACTTGTACAAATGTGCTACAATACTCACTCACGTGTACATATGTGCTACAATACTCACTCACTTGTACACATGTGCTACAATACTCACTCACTTGTACATATGTGCTACAATACTCCCTCACTTGTACATATGTGCTACAATACTCACTCACTTGTACACATGTGCTACAACACTCACTCACGTGTACACATGTGCTACAATACTCCCTCACTTGTACATATGTGCTACAACACTCACTCACGTGTACATATGTGCTACAATACTCCCTCACTTGTACATTTGTGCTACAATACTCCCTAACTTGTACATATGTGCTACAATACTCACTCACTTGTACATATGTGCTACAATACTCACTCACTTGTACATATGTGCTACAATACTCACTCACTTGTACAAATGTGCTACAATACTCACTCACTTGTACATATGTGCTACAATACTCACTCACTTGTACACATGTGCTACAACACTCACTCACGTGTACACATGTGCTACAACACTCACTCACTTGTACACATGTGCTACAATACTCACTCACGTGTACATATGTGCTACAACACTCACTCACGTGTACATATGTGCTACAACACTCACTCACGTGTACATATGTGCTACTGTGTGTACCATTGAACACATGTAAATCTGACCAACGAAGGGACTGGGCGACATGTTTAGAATGCTGTGCCGTCTCTCATTCTGTGTCTGCAGGTAACAGGGAAGTTGACTGGCAGGTTGTGTCAATGTGTCTGCGGGTAACAGGGAAGTTGACTGGCAGGTTGTGTCAATGTGTCTGCAGGTAACAGGGAAGTTGACTGGCAGGTTATGTCAGTGTGTCTGCAGGTAACAGGGAAGTTGACTGGCAGGTTGTGTCAGTGTGTCTGCAGGTAACAGGGAAGTTGACTGGCAGGTTGTGTCAGTGTGTCTGCAGGTAACAGGGAGGTTGACCGGCAGGTTGTGTCAGTGTGTCTGCAGGTAACAGGGAAGTTGACTGGCAGGTTGTGTCAGTGTGTCTGCAGGTAACAGGGAAGTTGACTGGCAGGTTGTGTCAGTGTGTCTGCAGGTAACAGGGAAGTTGACTGGCAGGTTGTGTCAGTGTGTCTGCAGGTAACAGGGAGGTTGACCGGCAGGTTGTGTCAGTGTGTCTGCAGGTAACAGGGAAGTTGACTGGCAGGTTGTGTCAGTGTGTCTGCAGGTAACAGGGAAGTTGACTTGCT